GAGGAAGGCCAAATCCCTCACAAATAGTCTGGCGGTTTTGGGCGGCAGAGACCAGCAATTATTTGTGAGGCTTGTGGGGTCACATACAATATTTTAAGGCGTCACAAATTTTTAGTGCGGGAATATCTATCCAAAAAATGAAAAATAAAAAGGAAAGAGCGGAAAAGTTTCCCGCCCCAAAATAAAATTATATTTTAGGATTTAGTTATCATCACATATTCCCACATGTGAGGACTTGGCCCCACTTATTCACATAAATATTAATCAAAATTACAACTATTCATTCATCTCCCTTTGTTTATTCGCTCTTTACTCGCTCTGCAACCAAAACTCATAGCCTTCTGTGTTTCTCAAATCATCGGCCGGCCGATTGATTCTGTATCATCGTCGGCTACTTCTCTGATGACGGCTACTTCTCCGACGACCATGATTGCTCCATCGACAACTACCACTTTCGACGAAAGCGCTTTCATTCCTAATTCCTCAACGCACCACAATATCTCTGTCTTCTTAATCCTAATATAGGTATTATATTTGTAATTCTTTTTATCTCTTTGCTTTAGTTTTTTTTTTTTTTGGTCGAATCTCTTTGCTTTAGTTTTGGGTAAGTTGAGTGTTTTGGTGAATTTCTGCATGTTTAAGATTTAGGATTTATAGAATCATTCTATGATTGTTGATTGGTTTATTTGTGAAATTTAATGTTAAAGAAATCTCTTCAAGCATAATTTGATTTATTGGGTTTTTATGCACTGTTGTTAATTTGCTTTATTATCTTTGCTTTTCAAAAAGAAGAATATGAATCGGTGTTTACTTTTCAAAAATCTCATTCTTAGAGTTCTAATTGGAGTTATGCTTTAGGAGGAGATTGGGATGTAATAGGAAGTTTTATTGTTACTTTTCCTTTTATTTATTTATTTTATTAACTTTACTACTTTTTGTGTGCTTGCTGAGGCAATTATAGAAGAATATAAGATATCTAATCAATATGCTTCCTATCGTTGGCTACCTAAAAGATCAATTATGAGCCAAGCCTTTTTGGATATCATAAAAAACATGAAAACCCATCATGTTGTTTGAAAGATTTGTTTCTATATAATAAATTTGGAACATGTTTATTATCTAATTACTAGTGCTTACTTTTTCTTTTGGCAGGTTGTTTTTGTTCTCGCAGCTGCTTTTTTGCTAGGAGCAAGTTTATTAGAAATAATTTGCAGAGAGGTGAATTCCCTTGCCATAGTCATTAACTTTTCTTATTTAAGTTTGTGTATATTTTTGCTTCTATATAGTGGTTATAAATACTAGTTTTAAATGGATAGGCAGTGGATTGCCAAATGTTGTGATCATTTTTTATTACAGGAGAAGTCGAAGAAAAATTCTGATAACCGTAAAAAGAACAAAACAAACCACAGGGGAGGTGCATGCTCATTTGTCCAACATGCTCAATAAGCTGTTAAAGTAATATAAAATTACATAGCTACTTTAAATATTTTCCAATTGATTTTAATCAATTTTTTATTTATTTCTGATTTATAGGAGGGGAAGCCTTTATATTTCATTGATAATTGGGAAAGGCTACATAAAGACAGAGAGCATAATTGGATTAGCGAGGATGCCCAAGAAAAGCATGTAAGTCAATAATGATTTATATTAGTATTGTACCCAAATTGATAGAAATCGTGGATTGTCTTACATATTTAGAAAACACTATGTAATACTGCTTTTTTTAAATGGGTGTTGGTTGATAAGTACTTCTTACACACAGTTACTAATGGCATCTCATATGTCATATGCAAGTTTGATTTTGTTGGTTTGTCTATAGGAAAAAATGAAATAAATATGAGATGTGTTGGCACGAGTCAACGTTCCTATTAGGAATAGAATTTCTGTTTTATTGTAATTATCTAATTTGAGTAGAATTAGGAGATTTTGTACATATTTCCTATTTGTAACCACTCTGTATGTAGTATATATATTCCTCCCTGAGAGAAGAATAAACATATTAGTTTTAAACCCTAATTATTTTGAGTTAGTATCAAAGCGGGTTTCGATCCGTCTCTACAACATCAAAACCCTAATCCTAAAAATACCTATTTCCGCTGCACCTAGCATATACACCTAAGCCTGTGCTGTCTTATATCTCTTACTGTCGTCGTCGTCACCTAATCTTTTGTTGCCGCCGCTATCTATCACCATGTCAGATGTCATTGACTCTTCTTCTTCTACTCTTATTGTGACGGTTCATACCGAATCAACCACCAACCTTCCTATGGGATTCAAATTAAATGGATCAAACTATGAGATATGGGCTTCGATGATCGAATTTCATGCTACTACACAAGGCAAATTAGGTTACCTGACTGGCGACACTGATGCCCTTGATTCCAAAGACCCGAAATTTGGGAAGTGGAAAATTGCTAATGTTGTTGTGAAAAGTTAGATGCTGCGAACTATGGAACCCAGTTTGTTGAATATGTTTCATACTCTAACTACTACTAAGGAAATTTGGTGATATGAAGACTTTTCAAGCTGCTGTTATGGCAGATCGTGTGTATGATTTTTTGGCTGGCCTTGACGATACTTATGACAAAGTCCAAAGTGATATTCTACGAAGTGATAAAGTTCCAAGTATCGAAAATGTATTTTTTATGGTTCGTCCAGAGGCTCAACGCCAAATTATTATGCTTGGATCCGACACCAAAATTGGGGAACCTGCTGTTGTGTTTGCTTCCAAAAACACTGCTTTGGTTTCTCAGCGTATAGGGTATGGCTCTTCTGCTGTTCCGTCTCGTCGCTTGACTTCTGCAGAAAAAGACAAACTAAAGTGTGATCACTGTGGTGAAAAGAGACATACTATCGACACCTGTTGGGCATTACATGGGGTACCAGATTGGGAGAAGGATCGGAGGCGTTTAAAAAAGGAACAACTTGATAGCAAAGTTCATGTGGCTGTTACCCCCACTTCTGTGGCTGACATCACCACTAGGCACGACCACTTTACTGCTACTCATCCTGTGACTTTGACCGTCATCTGAAGCACTCCAACACCTCCGCCTCTAGGTAACTTTGGCAAGGCTTTCCATGCCCATGATACCCGAGTTATAGGTTAAATTATTGATTCAGGAGCTACTGACCATATGACGTATAATTCTACTTTATTCTCTTATACTCTTCCGCCTCATCGTGATCATGTTATGACTGCTAATAATGCTGCTGCTCCTGTCACGGGGCTGGTTCTATACTCTTGACACCTGCTTTACCATTGGACAAAGTGTTACTGATTCCATCTTTGTCTAGTAATTTATTATCTGTACCGTAAGTTACTGAGCAGTTAAACTGCATTATACTGATGTATCTGTCTTTTGTCTTACTACAGGATATCCAGACTTGGGAGATCTTTGGTCGTGGTACTAAAAAGGGGGGGCTTCATTATGTGGATGATGTGGCAACTAGTCGGGTTCTTCGTGCTGGTAGCGCTGAAATTTCTCAGCATTGCCGAATTTGGTTGCTACATTACCGATTTGGTCATGCCTCATTTGGATATTTACAGCATTTGTTTCCTGCATTATTTGGTGGAGTCTGATTTCTAATATCAGACTTGTATTTTAGCTAAGAGTCATCGGGTATCCTACCCTCCAAGTTGTAATAAATGGCTTATGTCATTTTATTTAGTTCATTCTGATGTTTGGGGACCTTCCCCGATTTCTACAGCCTTGGGAGTTCGTTGGTTTGTGTTATTTGTGGATGATTGCACTCGTATAATGTGGTTATGGGATGAAAAATAAAAGTGACGTGGTCGAAATTTTTCAGCGTTTCTATTAGATGATTCAGACTCAATTTATGCTCCCTATCAAGGTTTTTCAATCTGATAATAGTGGAGAATTTGTTAATTCGGTGTTATCCTAATTTTTTCACACTAAGGGAGTACTCCATGAGACTACATGCTCTCAAACACCACAACAAAATGGGGTTGCTGAACGTAAAAATGGGCAGATCCTTGCTCCTGCCAGTGCTCTACTGCTTGGTGCGTCAGTTCCAAAGCGGTTCTGGATGGATGCTGTTACCTATGCAGTCTATCTCTTGAATCGTCTACCTTCACGAGTTTTGGATTTCCAAACTCCTATGCAGGTACTGACCCATCATGTCTCTGCCTCTTCTATGTTCACTTTGTCTCCAAAGGTGTTTGGTTGTGTCGTTTATGTTCACCTCCATCAGAATCAGATGAGTAATGTAAACCCATGTGCTCTCCGTTGTGTCTTTCTAGGTTTCTCTCCTCATCAGAAAGTTTATCGATGCTATCATTCTGCAACCCGACGTCTATATGTCTCTATGGATGTTACCTTTGTTGAGGATGAAATGTTTTTCTCTGATACACCCGAGCATGTCCTTCAGGGGGAGACTAGTAGTGAAGGACATAGCTGGCTAGATTTACAAGAGGGGGTAGTATTGGATAGGTTGATACAAAGGGAAGAACCGAACGCAACTGTTTAATGAACCTGCTACACCGGCATAACCTGCTACACTATCTGAACCTGCTATTCTAACTGATGTCACTACTGTCACTGAATCAATTGCACCCCATGAAGCTTCTCTAATAGTACCCGATCAAGCTCCCTTGGATATTCCTGAAGTAAGTGCTTCTACTCATACTTATTATAATTCTTATGTTTTACCGCCTAAAAAATATTGAAATGGAGGCGTTGCAAAAAAATAATATATGAGACATTGTTGATCTACCAAGGGGAATGAAGCGTGTAGGATGCAGATGAGTGTTTACAGTTAAATATAATGCAAATGGTACTGTGGAGAGGTACAAGGAAAAATTAGTAGCTAAAGGGTTCACTCATACATATGGAGTTGATTATCATGATGCTTTTGCCCCTGTGGCTAAGGTGAATACTGTCAGAGTTTTGTTGTCCTTAGCAGTAAACTTGGATTAGACCCTGAGGCAATTTGACGTAAAAAATGCATTCTTACATGGTGAACTAGAAGAAGAAGTGTACATGAGTCTTCCACCAGGGTATAGGGTTACCGGTGAAACGGGAAACGTGTGCAAATTGAAAAAGGCGTTGTACGGGTTAAAGCAGTCTCCTCTGGCATGGTTTGGTAGATTTATCACAGCTATGAAGAAGTTTGGTTACCGACAGACTAATACTGATCATACTCTATTCATTAAACATATGGCTGGTGAGGTGACTTTGTTGATTATTTATGTTGATGATATGATTGTGACTGGTGATGATACTGTAGAAATCGAGGAACTGCAGAAACGTTTAGCATCTGAATTTAAGATGAAAGATTTGGGCAGTCTGAAATATTTTCTAGGAGTGGAAGTCACTCGATCTAAACATGGCTTATTTCTTTCACAAAGTAAGTATGTCATGAACCTGCTAGCAGATACTGGAATGCTTGACTGTAAACCAGCTGATACACCTATTGTTGAGAATCATAAACTCGGTGTTTATGTGGATCAGGCCCCAACTAACAGAGAAATATATCAAAGGTTAGTTGGGAGATTTATTTATTTATCATTGACATGCCCTCATATTGCCTATGCTGTAAGCGTTGCTAACTAATTTATGCATTCACCTAGTGAGAATCATATGACTGCTGTGATGCATATTCTGAGTTATTTAAAGTCTGCCCCTGGGAGAGGTTTATTATTTAAGAAAATGGTCACTTGGATCTGGAAGGTTACACTGACGCAAATTATGCCAAGAATATTACATATAGACGTTCTACATCAGGTTACTTCACCTTTGTTGGTGGTAATCTAGTTACGTGGCGTAGCAAGAAGCAAAACGTTGTGTCTCGGTCCTCCGCAGAGTCTGAGTATAGAGGGATTGCCTAAGGGGTTTGCGAAATACTGTGGTTGAGGTGGTTACTTGCTGAAATAGGGTTTAGACCGAATGCTGCTACAAAGCTCCACTATGATAATCAGTCTGCATTTGAAATTGCTAACAATCCAGTGCAACATGATCGAACTAAGCATGTAGAAGTTGATCGGCATTTCATTAAGGAGAAGCTGGAGCATAAATTAAGAAGGGTGATTTCCCCACTCCTTTTTCTTCTATTTTATCCACTTACACTCATTTTTTATAACTAAAAAAGGAGTGTAAGTGGATAAAATAGGAGTGGGGAAATCATTGCCCTAAATTAATTTCTATACCTTTTGTGCCTTCTTCAGAGCAGCTTGCAGATATCCTGACCCATGCAGTGTCAAAGCGCTGATTTGAAGACTCACTTGACAAGTTGGGCATTACTGATATCTATGCACCAACTTGAGGGGGAGTGTTGGCGTGAGTCAACGTTCCTATTAGGAATAGAATTTGTTCCTATTAGGAATAGAATTTCTATTTTATTGTAATTATCTAATTTGAGTAGTAGGAGATTTTGTACATATTTCCTATTTGTAACCACTCTGTATGTATTATATATATTCATCCTCGAGAGAAGAATAAACATATCAGTTTTAAACCCTAATTATTTTGAGTAGATGAACCGAGGGCCAAGATAATTGAGGAGTTGATGAGGATATTGAGGCTGATTCGATAGGAATTCCAATTGAGGCTGAGTTCAAGATCATGGGTGATGTACTTGGAGTGAAAGGTAGGACAGTTTGTGGTCTTGGTGCTTTTCCTCAAATGGAAGCCAATATCTCAACTACTGTTTTTTCTGGAGCTTCTAATTCTGAGCTTAGCAAGTTACAAGATACAGTACAGATGCTTGCCACAAATATGCAAAGTGTGCAGGAAGAATATTCAAATTTGAGGGCAAATTTGGTGGCAGCTCTGGAGGCATCCAACAATGATGGGCTGGATAATGCACAGTTGATGTCAATGTTGCGTGCAACTTTGATGTCGTCGGCAACAACCTAGGATCATATTTACATATTTACAATACTAAGCGTGTTTAGAACCTTGGATATACTATTAAGCAAATACTTAACTTGCATATGCTATTTTGGATATTATTCATCTATGATATGAAGCTTTTTTATTCTTGATGCATAGTATTATATTTATTAAGATCATTGTCATGAAATCATTCACATGTATTATCAAATCAGATGTTTTTTTGGCATAACAAATTATACAATATGATGATTTATTATATGTCATATTTTAAATAAAGTGACAATTTATAAAGCTTCACAAATTGAACGTCGTGACAACTTGTCTGTCGTCATATTAGATACGATGTGACCACTTGCCAACCATCAAAAAATGAATTAGGTGACCTATTGTTACATGTCACAAAAGGAACAATGTGACAAAACACGAGAAGTCACATAGAATAACATATCAATATTAGCCATATATAAAGTTACATATATGTACAATCCCAAATCTTATTTGAGGGACACTTTGTGGGGTTTACTACAAATTTTATTTCAATGATCTGAACTTTCTATTTTTCAAGTCTTCATTCATAAGTTATTTAGGATAAAGCCATTCAGCCTAGAAAAAGCCTGGTGGTTTGGAAAGCTTTACAGAGTCGACTTCTTATAGATGAATATCTCCAAAAGCGTAGTGTGTCCTTAGCCTCTTGTTGTTCTATTTTTTTCTCGCTACGATGAAACTGTTAACCACCTTATTCTTAATTGCTTGTTTGTCATGGACTTGTACTAGAATTGGTTGCTTCGACTTTTTAACAAGTCTCTATGCACTTTAGACTTGATAGATAATATTTTTGTAGGTCCTTTTCGCCTTCTTCCCATAAACTATGGTTATCGGTAGCATGCAATTTGGTATCTAAGAAATTAAATTCATTTTGATTATATATATGCATAAACTTTATTAGTGAAGTATAGCTAATTAAACCAGTTACTTTGTAATTGGAATATTTGTACATTTTTCATAAATTAAAAATAGGTACACAATAATTTATAGAAAATATAGGTACATTATTTACCCATAGGTAAATTATTTTACAATATACCTATAAATGTGTATATGTACATTATTTGGAAAGGAAAACAACAACAAAAAATTTATTAAATAAGTTTCTAAATTATTTCCTACATCCATTGCAACCTTTTGAAAATCTTTCTAATTTCAATATATGTCACTAGTTACACCCCCACATAACACGTTAACTTATAAATAGGGGTAATTTTAGAATTTGAAAAATAGAATAAATCATATTTTAAGCTAGATTAGGTAACTTGCTTTTTTTTATCCTAGTCATCGGGTTTGATTTGAAAAAATTGGGTATTTTAAATAGAAAAATAAAGGAATGGATTGTAGGTGATTAAAAATGAATTTTATGGGTCTAAGCTCAATTTACTATTAATAATTAGTTAATTAGTGAGATATGGTGGATAATCAGTTAGAATGTGAAAAGGTTGATGATTCGATTTTATCCATTATAATAAAAGAAATTGTAATTTTCTTTTGCACTTTAGTAAGCAAGAACTAAAAATATACCAAAAGCAACTGAATGCAAGACTTACCTATATATTATGCCATGAAAGCATCACCTTGGGCGGAAAGGAAGATTTGTCGTTATCAAATATTCTAATTCGATTCATTGAATGGGTTCCACCAGTCTCGTAGTCCTCCTTGCGCAGCCTCAGTCCTTTTACTTCAGTGACTTCATCTTTTATCTTTACCAATCTACCTCATCTCCCTACTTGTTTTAGTGCATGCACCATCGTCCATTCTCTCTGTCTCTCTCTGAGTTTGTGAGGCATGCAAGCTAGCTATAAAACCAAACCATGCATCTCTCGGGTCCTGACAAAACTTGCAAAAGAATCAAGCAGCTTGACCAACCTCCATATTTGAGAAGAAAAACCAAAAAATATGAGGGTTGCTTTTGGTTTTAGGGCTGTTGCTAATTCACCCACCTCACCACCTCTTGATTCTCCGAACCTTTCTTTTGCCACCAAAACTGATCGTTCAGAGAAATTTAGGAAAAACTCCAACTTAGCATTCTCAGCTGCCACGTCATTGTCATTAAAGCAGCTTGATTCGACATTTATGCAATGCAGTAGTGTGGACACAACCCAGCCGTCACCAAAACTGGGGAAGAGGTGGATGGAATATCAAGGAAGCAATAATTGGGAGTGTTTGCTAGACCCTCTCGATCATACCCTTCGCTCTGAAATTCTTCGCTACGGTCAGTTTGTGGAGGCTGCCTATCGCTCTTTTGACTCTGATCCTATGTCTCCAACCTACGCCACATGTCGTTTTCCAAGAAATTCACTCTTGACCCGGTCCGGGTTTGGGCAAACTGGATACCGGGTAACCAAAAATCTACGAGCCACGTGTGGAGTACAAATGCCGCGTTGGATTGGAGGAGTGCCAAGTTGGATGTCTACTCAGTCGAGCTGGATTGGCTACGTGGCGATTTGTCAAGATAAAAAGGAGATAGCGAGATTGGGACGTCGAGATGTTGTGATTGCTTTTCGGGGCACCATCACGTGCTTAGAATGGGTTGAAAATCTACGAGCCACCTTGATTGAGGTGCCGGATTATGTGGGACCCAAAAGTGGTGGGCCCATGGTAGAAAGAGGCTTTTTAAGCCTTTACACTTCAAGAACTGCCACTTTCTCTAGCTTACAAGACATGATTAGGAAGGAGATTTCAAAAATCATCGAATTGTACGGTGATGAGCCACTTAGCTTAACTATAACAGGTCATAGCCTTGGAGCAGCCCTCGCCATTCTGAGCGCGTATGACATAACTGCCACCTTTGCAAATGCACCAATGGTCACAGTGGTATCGTTCGGTGGGCCCCGCGTCGGAAATAGGAGCTTGAGATGCCAGCTGGACAAAAGTGGAACCCGGATACTCCGAATTGTCAACTCAGATGATCCAATCCCCAAAGTACCTGGCTTTGTATTTGAAGATGGAGATGATGTGGAAAGCACAAAGAATGTCCACGTGGCAAACTTGCCAAGATGGATTCTTAAGTACGTGGAAGACACGCAATGGGTATATGCTGACATGGGACAGGAGCTGAGACTTAGTAGCAAGGAGTCACCCTATCTGAACAAAAGCAGCCTCGCCACTTGTCATGATCTGAAGACATACCTCCACTTGGTGAAGGGCTTTGTTAGTTCCAAGTGTCCTTTTAATGAGATGATGGCATGATGTTATTGCTAAAGTTACCAAGGGTCATTGAGCAACTTGGTTTTGAATGGTGGACTTGTACACAACGGCACATAATACATACAATAGAATCACCCTTTAATGAAGTGTGGTGGGGTGTTCTCATTTTTGTAGGGCACACGAGTTTTTAACTTTTATATACAATTTCTAAAGTCTATTATTCCTCTTAATTTTTGTTCATTGGTTTTTCTAATTTCGCAATTTAATGCTGCTTGGGAGTGCTTATGAAAATTTCAACATCTTTATAATAAGTACGTTTTTATTAAAAGTACTTATGAGCATAAATGCTTCCTAGATAAGCAGTTTCAAACGAACCCTTAATAAGAGGACTTCCATATAAATAATCTCAAAGCACAATAATATTTTAATAAGAGGGCCTAATTCTTTTCCACACGGAAGTGCCATTAAGACTTCCATGGTTCACATGTGAAAATGCGAATATTTGTTATATAAATGGTAATGTCATTGGCATCTTATCAGTTCAAATAAATTAGTTATTACCTCTTGCTAGGCTTGTAACTTAAGTGATTAAAAATATTTTTTTCTGCACCCGAAGTTCTAGATTTCTCTTGTAAGAAATTAAAAAAATTAGTTATTACCCAAAATCTCTTTTACAGTGGCTTTTTTTAATTTTATTTTATTTTTAATCTTAATCTTTTCCTTTTCGAACTACCCCCTCCCCTCCGAGCTTTTCACACATACTTTAATGCTATATATTATGCTGTGTTTTAAAAGG